CTTTTGTTATACTTGTAAAGAGTGTGTTCCCAGAAAATCCAATATTTTCATAAATATGAGCTGAAAGTGAAAGTAGTTTCTTGGTATCCTTTCCTTGTAAGGTAATAACATATAGTTCCAGAAAAATGCAGTATTTTCCTTAAAGATAAACTGTGGTCTTAAACCCTAAGACCACGATGGAGGTGAATGTCATAGAAAAATCGCTTATAGTTTCATTTCTTTCAATAAAACTAATGAAGTAAGCTTCTCGTAAACCCCAAAAAAATCTTTTTGTTTATCCCTATGTGAGTCGTTACAACCATACTAATGACCTAAACGCCTGGATTGACGTTTTTCAGGCGTCGGTTTCTATAAGATATTTGTCACCCTAGATTGGCCTAGTCTACTATAGCGAACAGCTCAGGTGTGGGGGTGTCAACCTCGCATAGATCTATACACAATTACCTCGCTCTCCCTCCAGGAGACTCTGGTTATAACTAACAGGACTTACCGTGTACGTTAGGTAGGTACGACTAAAGGTGTCTCACAAGAGTATTAACAGATTTACGTGAACTATGACTCCTTTTCTTGTAAAAGCAGGATAGTTATACCTTTAAATGATTAAACATGTCTTTTGAAAAGTGTGGGTCGTGACTTCCAAACTATACCGATTATAGTTTATCTTGTTGGTTTGAAATTATTTATGTACTCTTTTATATAAATATAAAGGTGTGTTCCAACATGAAAAATATGAATTCAAAACATAGTATTTAGGTATTAAAACCCACTAGATTAGTAAATGACTATACCGTACCAAAGTTTACTAGTAAAGCTATCTTTTAATAAAGGTTCCCAAAAAGTCATGTAGTTTATAGATCTTAACTTTTCTTACGATTTTATAACATTGATCATGTTAGTTTTGCTGATATATATATATATATATACATATCACAATATTTATACCAAAACTAGAGTATACCATAACTTGTACAAATAATAATTTATCCTTAACATAAAGATGAAAAACTTGTAGTTATTTGTGGAATAATCAAAGTTTGACTTGTATTTCCCCCCCTAAAACATAGAAAAAGCTTGAAAATATGGGGGTATGAAGCTCACCTTGGTTTAGTTTAGTGGATGGTTGGAAATGATGTTGAGAAATTTTCAAGCCTAAGAACTTGAAGAGTTTGATAAACTCTTTGAAACTTAGTATATCCTAAGAATATTAACACATAATATTATATGTAAATAAGATGAAATAAACAAAATCTTGTGTGAAACCACTAGCTAAACTCGAAATACTTACAAGGATCTAGGGATGATACTTGGAAGAATGTGGAGCTTGAAAGATCCTAAGCTTGTTCTTGAGGAAGTATGAATTGTTTGCTAAGTGAAGGGAGGGAGTATGAAATAATCAGAGAGCAAAATGAGGGAATTGTGAGGTTTAACAAGGAGGTTCTCGTTTAAATAAGAGAAGTGAGGTTGATGTGAAGTTTGCTTTGAGGACTGTTGGTTATATTATGGATACATGGTGGTTCCTACATGGTTTACTGGGATTTCGTTGGAAACAAGAGAGATATCAAGTCCTAGAGTCAACCATTTTTGTCTTATCCTCATTCCAATTCGTAAACCCCTTAAGATATGAAGTTGTTTTCGTTTAGGTGTGGTCCACTAAGGAGTTTTCGCCCAAACTTTGATTCCCTAAGGTGTTTACGCCCAAGGATTCCCTAGAGTGTTTACACCCTAGCATGGGTTCCCTAAGGTGTTTTCGCCCTAGCATGGATTCCCTAAGGTGTTTACGCCCAAAGATTGATTCCTAAAGTAGTTTACGCCCTAACATACCCCATTTAAGGTGTTCACGGCCAAATAAGGTCCACTAAGGGGTGTTTACGGCCAAGAGAGGGCCCATTAGGGGTGTTTACGGATCTTGGGTTTCCAAGGCTTCTAAGAATCTAAATCCTTAAGTCATATACACCAACTAACTTTTAAACTTATTACTTGGACTTGTGTTGATTTCCTTTTGACTCCTTAAGGCTTGTTGACTTCATTTGCCTTTCAAAAGTTCATTATAACTTGGCTTTCAAAGTGTATATACATATAAACTTGTATAAGTATGCTCTCTCTTGGCTTTCAATGTTCCATTGCATCAAGTGCGTTGTGAATCTACTGATATCTGAGTGAAGTTTTGACTTAGTTTGCTCTAGGATTTTTCAGGTTGTCACAGAAGGCAACCCAAAAGGATCATGCTACTATCGGGTCAAGTACATCCCAATTATAGTTATGGGTTTAGACACCTAATCCAACAGTTTTCAGACTAATGGTTTTATAATTATGTAATTAAAAATGAAATTTTTTGTCATGAAGTTTGGAATGCTACACTTCGCATAACATGTCTTCACTCTTCGTTTCTCAAATAAAAGCTCACTTCACATCTCCCATCCACAACTTCACACATAACCAAAACTCCTTAGTTGCCAAGGGATACTTCATGTATTACCAGTTTGGAAATTTGTGTAGATATCGGATCCATAAAGAGGGTATGAACTCTCGATATGGATGTGCTAGGGGTATGAACTCTTCATGGTTGGTGCTTAAGGGTATAAACTCCCCATATAGTGTGTTATATAAACTCCCCAGTTGTTTGATATAACTTAAATCCAGTTGTTTGATATAACTTAAATCCTTATATGTTTGGTATGATTGATTGAATTGTTGGGAATTTATAAATATTTTGATATATTTTACATATTTTATTCTATGTACTCATGAGATACTATTGTCTCATAAATTTTTGTTAACATGTGTTCCACTTGTGAAATTTAAATAAGTAGATAACTTTTAGAAGGGAGGTGCACATCTTTTATTAGAAGAACATAAATAGCGTTAGCAAACAATTATAAATTTGTTTTTGTTAGTAATATTTTTGATACTTAGAATGTTCACTTGTTGTAATACCAAACCTTACTCTAATTGTGTATATGTTTTGTGACAACGAAGGAACCTATGACTAATTTTATTTGACATTGGTGCAATCAATTTCCTTCTTTATGCTAAATCTTAGTGTATAAATTTGAGTGTTACAGATGTCTATTTGTAGAGGACAAGAAATTAATTTTTTGATATATGGACTGACATAATAAAATCCATCTATGGTGATAACAGCACGCAACTATGTTTTCCTAGGGAAGTTGTGGTGGAGGTTTCGAACATGTGGGTCTCAAATATGGATCAGCATCATAAAAGCGATCTATGGTGATAATGTCGATTTTACACATCCATAAGTGGCGAAGAGAAAATGGTGTTGTTGTAAACTTGTATCAATACATAACAAAAAAAAAACATCAAATTTCGAAGTTTTTTTTCATCGTCATTATCTCCGAATGGATAAACTTGTTGGAATTGGGACTAGAACCATGTGACGAATTCATGGTGTCTTCTTTCAAACATTATATGGAATCTAAACAACTATCATCCTCAAATGGGGAATGGATCTAGGATAATTAGTTCCCGACAAATTAAACCTATTAGCATGGAGAATCTGTCATCGTAAACTCCACATATTGGAAAACCTTGCAAGGTTTGGTATATCTTCTTTATCTCTTTGCAAAATCTACAATGTATGCCTAGAAAATGAGGAACGTGTATTTCTTAACTGCCCCAAATAAAGGATGTGTGGAATGCGTTAAGAATCTAGTGGAAAAGGTTGCCCTCAACATGTCCATCTATAGATGTATTATTGGAGAATGCAAAAATAAAGTCTACCGGTCTTGACGCACTATACGAGTCGATCATATTAGTCTTTATCTGGTTGTATGGAGATTCCGTAGATCATAAATCTCACACGGTCCTGGAAACGAGGTGCATATACTATCTCACATTTGGATAAACTACAGGAAAAAAAAAATGAAGTCTCAACTGAACAAGCTGTTGTTGCAATCTGTAAAGATAAATGCATAATCTTACAATCTGTAAAGATAAATGCATAATCTCTTAACGGTTGTTTTTCTGTTGTTTCTTATTTTTGTTGTTTTGCACCTTGTACCTTTAATCCCTTTGCTAGTTTTTTTTTTCTTTTAAATACATATATATACCAACCGTTAAAAAAATAAAAATAACTTAAGATATTTTCTTGATTTTGATTTGTTAATTCTTTTGGTGGTAGGTTAAGGTTTGTTTTTTTATTGGAAGTAATTTCTTTGGTTTTGTCTTTAAAATAAAGTGCTCATTTCCTCGTATTGAATTTAATGTGTATATTAAATATCGTTTAATGATGGTTTTTTTCCTGAAAAATAATGGTTATATTTATTTATCTACAGTAGAAAATAATGATCACGTCGCCTTTAAGGCTATTGCCTATTAGTAAGTCGATCACTATAATCCTGAGATTAAGGTACAAATCTGATAATTAGAATTTGTAATGATAAGATAGTTGTTGACTCTCTCTCCATCTCGCTAAAGTGCATTTGGTGATAAATATATCTAACTGAAATATATCAAACCATTATTTTTAGAGTTTACATCTTTCAATTATACAACCTTGTAAAACCATGATCATTAGGAATATTTAGAATGAATTTGCTAAACATTAGAACTAAAATGTTGAAAATCCAATATTTATTATTTTAAAGAAACTTTATACTTGCAACACCTATCTTTTTTTTTTTTTTTGTAACAATGAACTTAGAAATTTTATCAAACTTAATAGTGTACAATATTAGGGACTTTCTATCTTTACAAAAAAATAATCTATGGTTTCAAGTCTTTCTAATTCCAATTTGGATTGGGCTTCTTGTGGGCTCTACACTCTTAAGTCACCACCTATAGCATTCTTTATATCTCACATGATTTTCTTGGAATTGTATAACGTTTTACATAAACAAATTTCAGGGTTTTAAGTACATTGTGGATTGAGCCCCTGTAAGCATTGGCCTACATGGGCTCTTATATCAGTTACCTGGTAGACCACTGTATACCTGATTTACATCTTACAAAATGTTTTTGGGACAGTGTGAGCTCAATTTTCATTGGATCCAAGATTGGCCAGGTTTCTTTTTTATTCCCTTTTCTTGCATCAAACCCTTTATCCTAGCAACTTCCTCCCACCTACAATCATTCACACACTTGTTCGACATTAAAACATAACCTCCACTCTCTAATGGCTCAACTTCACATAACTTTTCACAAACCCATTTCGCCATCTCTAAATCTTTATATAAATTACAATAAAATAAAAACACTTTCCAAACAACACTCAAATGCGAAATTTTATTCTCAAAAATAAAACCCTTTACCTCATTCAACCTACCACCTCTTCCCAAAAGATCCACCATACAAGTATAATGCTCGACTTCAGGCTTAATGCCATGAAAATCTTTCATTAACATGAAATAATCACACCCTTCTTTAACTAACCCTTGATAACTACAAGCAGTTAAAATCCCTAAAAAAGTTATCTCATTTGGTTCAACCCCTTCGTTTCTCATCATCTCAAAAAGCCGAATAGTCTCCTTTCCTTCACCATGTGATGCAAAACTAGATATTATGGAAGTCCATAACACAACATTTCTAATCTTGGATTCTTTAAAAACTAACAAAGAACATTGTAACTTTCCACATTTGGCATACATGTCTATCATTGATGAACTTAAAAACACATCTTCATGTCCCGTTTTCAATACATATGTATGTATAAGTTGACCAAGATCCAAAAGCCCGGAATCAGAACAACCAGAAAGAATACTCGCAAGGGTAAATTTGTCAATTTCGCCATGTTCATGAACCATAAAGGTGAAAACTTTTAAACCATCTTCTATCTTACCATTTTGAATGTAACCACTAACTATTGAACTTAAAGACACAAAGTCAACTTCTGAAGTTTTGAAAATGATCATTGCTTTTTCCATTTCGCCACATTTGGAGTACATGTCAAGAAGTGAATTCTTGATGAAGGAATCATGGATTCCAACTCTTAGAAGTTTACCATGAATTTGTTTTCCTAAATTGATATGATTTAAAGAAGATGCTAATATTAAAGCTATTGAGAAAGTAAAATGTGTAAAAGATGTACCATTTGTCACCATTTGGTAAAGAAGTTGGAGTGCCCTTTGTTCATACCCATTTTGCAAATTTCCATCTATGATAGTATTCCAACTTGCTGGATCTTTATTGGGTAATTGCAAGAATAAATCCTCAGCTTTTTTTATATCTTTGTTCTTCAAAAGTGCACTGATCATTATATTCCATGAGACTGTATCTTTATCAGTCATCAATTCAAAAAACTTTGTGGCATAATCATAAGCCTGACATTTCACATAGAAATCAAGAATGGAATTCTGTAATGTCGTGTCTAAAAAAACCCCTTTTCTCAATATCCATCCAAGAATCGTTTTACCCATGTTAAGCTCCTTTGCACTTCCACAACACTTCAAAACACTCGAAAATGTGAACTGATTTGGGGTAATACGTTCCTTTTGCATCTGGGTAAATAAACCTAAGGCCAGGTTGTGTGATCCAATTCGTGAAAACCCGGAAATAAGGATAGTCCATGATCGCACATCTCTCTGAGGAATTTCATCGAACAGTTGGTGGGCGAGTGTTAAATTTCGGAACTTTACATATAAGCTCAATAGATAGTTGCTCACATCCAAGTGAGTGATAGCAGCATTCTTGATTACAGTAGCATGAGCGATCCCTAGGGAGGATTCGTTGGTTGGTGTAGGTGAAATTAGTTCCGAGATATGTAAGGTGTGCAATTGAAGCAGAGTCGACGTTGGGATGATATTTTGGGGGACTAGTGGAGATGGTGATCGAAACCAAGACAAGGCCACGAGTGCATGGTGGATTCGACGCATCCCTACTGAATTATTTCGGACTTACCTAAGAAATCATCATGTGCGTTGTGCAATGCTATCTGCTGAAGTGAAGTGATTTGTAAAAATTAACGAATTGGTTTCGAATATTATAAAATATATATATATATATATATATATATATATATATATATATATATATATATATATATATATATATATATATATATATATATATATATATGAACTAAATTAAGGAGAATGAATTGGTTTTGAATATTATACAAAATAATATGAACTAGATTAGGGATTAGAGAGTATTTCGTCTGTATTTTTATAAATTTTTGTAAAACTTTAAATTGCATATATTATTTTATAAAACCTAAGAACTTATGTGTATAACCAAATATTTAATTTATCATAATTAATATCTTTAAAAATTAAAAATATTATCTTTAAATTGATTTTTATTATTGAAAAAAAAATTATCATAATTAATATCTTAAAAAATTGAAAATATTATCTTTAAATTGATTTTTATTATGAAAAAAAACAATTAACTTGTAATATTACAATATTACTATTATCTCATCTACCCACAATGCACACCTTTATGTTAATCATTCATCTCCCATCCACCCACGAACCTATTATCAAAAACAAACAAAATTATCATAGATGAAGGTTTGTTGTTAATTACACTTAAACTTGGAAACACCTCTCTTAGAAGGTTACAAATGAAAACTAGAACCCATTAGATTGAAGTTGTCAATCTCCGATGCAACGTAAAATGACCCATACTGTGTTCTTGACTTCTCTTTAGTTCATATGGAAAGCTAGGAATAACAATGTTTTCAACAACATTTTCTTGTCCCCCTCTCGCGTGGTAGAAGAGATTAAGGCGAATTTTTTCTTATGGATTAAGAATAGATGGAAAGAGAATTCTTTGGATTAGCATGTTTGGTATAACCTTCCTTTTGCAGTTAACTCTGTCTTATTTGTTATGTTTTTGTCTCTAGCTCCTTGCTATGGGTTTTGAATAAAAAAATTTCCGTTCAAAAAGAATTAAATTGAAGATGAAAAGTCTGATGACTACTGACTACTGACTATCACATATCTACAAGACTACAAACACGAACAAAGCTAGTAGACATTTTTTTTTGTTTTGGGAGACATGAATAGATTTTTAAGACGAGGAATATGAACAAAAATTCCAAAACTTAGAAGCTCTAAATAGTTATTTAAAAACTCATATGCAGAACCAAAAGCATAATAAAAACTAGAATTCATGAAATCAAAGCTGGAAAAAAAATATGATGGTTGTTTATTTCTATTTGGTGGAGCTCATTCAAAATTTCTTCTCTCTTTATATCCGAACTTAAATCAAGGTTAATTTTACACCATAAGATTGTTGTTTACCTCTCACAGAGAATATTTTATCAATCGAAGATCCCCTAGATTTCTGTTGTCGGTTCCTTACCTTTACTAAAAATCAGCCGGTCCTGCGAATGGCCTCGACTTCTACAAATGTGACGGTAGATGTAACTTGGGATTTTTGGAAGAAAGGGAATACTGTAATAGAACAAGTTAATTGTTTTTTAATAATAAAAAATCAATTTAAAAATATTGTTTTTAATTTTTAAATATATTAATTATGTCATAATTAATATATTTAAAAATTAAAAACATTATTTTTAAATTGATTTTTTTTTATTATTAAAAAATAATTAACTTCTAAGAATATACTTCGATGTTCTACAAGAATATGGATATAATTATAAAAGTTCACACGAATATAGATAAAAATCTTTCAATAATATTACAAACATTATATTGCAATTTCTTTATGGAAATTTATGGATAGTTAAAAATCAATTTATCTAAAAGAATATTTATAAAATGATGATGTGATTACTTATAGAGTATTGATATATTGCCATTTACGCTTCACCACCGAAACCATATTTTGTAAAAATTGTCGTTAGTTAGAAATTTTTATTTTTGTAAAAGTATTTGACAAAACGTAGTTGTAATTAGGGATGGAATTTGGCCCGAAAACCTGATCCGAACCGAAACCCGAACCGAACTAGGCCCGAATAAGCAATTCGATTCGGGTTTCGGGTATCTATATTATGCTTATTCGGTTCACGGGTTATTCGGTTCAGGTTACCCAAATAAGAGCTTATTCGATTCTAAATACCCGACCCGAATAAGCATTCCTCCTCCCCGTTTCAAAATCGACCAATCTTCTCATCTATTTCCAAACTTGAAATCACTATTATCGATCATTCCTCTTGTTTCCAACTTTCAAAAATCGACCCTTCCTATTGTCTCTAAGGATTCACGAATTCATACTTTGTCTAGTCATGGAAAATTAGACTCCAACTCAAGAAACTTAAGTAAGAAATTAATTCTCATTATATTAATCTACTATGTAGATGTTATTTTTTCAATGTGTTATTGTGTTATGTTAGTCTTTAAATGTTTTATGTTGATGTATAAAAGTACATTGTTATTCTATTATTTAGGTTATTCGGGTTATAAAATTCTAATACGGTTTATTCGGTTTTTTTCCAGTTATATTAGGTTATTAATCATCTTGTGCATGTTATTCGGGTAATAACCGAACCGAACCGATTAATACCCGAACCGAACCGAACCCGTATTGGTTAATCGGTTCGGTTTTCGGTTCATGCAATTACCCTTATTCGGTTTTCGGGTTATTCGGGTTCGGTTCGGTTCTGACCTGAATAACATCCCTAGTTGTAACTTTGTTAAATATGTAAATTCATATTTTAAAAAAAATAAAAGATTTTAAAAACTACTTGAAATAATTTTTTTATTCTAAACTTTTTATTCTAAAGTAAAAGTTATAAACTCGTGGCATCGAACATTTTTTTAATTTGAGCCTTTTAAAAGCTAAATGTTCTTTGTCCAAGATACCCAAATCTCAATTTTTTTTCTATCAATCTTATTACAAACTTGCTCCAATCCACATCATCTGATGTTATATTATGCGTTAATTTTTTAGTTTTTTTTTTTTTTTTTTGCAATTTATTTCTCAAACTATGAGTTTATGTATTTTGGTTTGCTATTTTATAATGATTTCAATATGTAACAGTTGTTAATTATGATGTTATATTATAAAATTTTATAGTAATATATTGTGTATGTTAAATTTAACTCTTATGTTACAAACTTATTTCAAAAACTTAGTTATGTTAAATAAATATTTGTTACTTGTAGCGAAGCAACCAATGTGAATCTTTGAATATGGAGTGTAAAGTGTAAAGTTCATAGAATGTTTTTGATACGAATGAAATATATATGAAATATATAAAAGGAATTGGAATATGTGGTATGAAACTTATTTCAATTTAACTTTTGTATTGTTTTCTGTTATGTTTGTAAATTTGTCGAAAGAATTTCTTTTATCCTATTACAATTTCTTTTTTCATTATATAAAAATGACAGTTATCTTTACTAGAAAATATCTATCTATGGGGTCAAAATGTCCAAAAGGTCTTTGCTTTTCTACATATTTACAAAACAAACATCAAGTCAAAAAAAATGGATGGGGGAGAAATTGACCATACTACCCCTACTTACAAACAAAATTAGATCTAGTCCTAAACGAACACAAATACAAATCCATGAACCGATTAACAAAAACTTTATCTATAAAGATTCAAATCTAGAGATGGTATTTTTGTTCTTCAGTTTCATAGATTTCTTCCAAAACTAAATACTGAAGTGCAATGGAATACTTAGCACTCTTTGTTAAGCTGCTATTGTTCTTCAGAATAAATGATCCAATTCCATCACCTACCAACCACACACAAATCAAAAAATAACAATGAACTTTACGTTAACTCTTATTAATAAAAATTAAAAAATATACATTTATGGTAACCAAACCTTTGATGGTGAAAATAGAGTTGAGCCATCCCTTGTAAATGTGGAGCAATCTTGGGGTGTCACCATGGTGAGTATCGGATACCAAAAGCATACACGGTCCTTTTTCACTGTGTTCAAAATCAGGTGAAAACCTCTACAATCTGTAGTAGAGGTGAAAACAGACCAGGCTTAAAAAGTCTGGTCTGGTAACCAAACCGGCTTAAAAAGCCTAGTTTGGTAACCATAGGCCCGGTCTGGTTGTTCATCTCTACTCTGTAGTAACAGAGAATTTTTTTTTTGCTTACTTGGCATGATTAATTGCGTTGCAACACAAAGCTAAAGTTCGGGCTATTGCTAATTCTCTTCCACGTGGACTATTGTATCTTTGTTGGCAATTTCTTCATTACATAATATAAAAATGTCAATAAGAAGTGGTTTGTAATGGATTAAACTGTAAGATTTTAGGGAAAAAAATTGCATTCAATAATACAAAGATCGTCTTTGAGGATGTATATCAAGATTACTTTTCATCAAAAAATTCCCCAAGATCATCAATTATAACCAAAACAGGAAACGTATCATGCATGTGAAATGCAGCGAAGAATTTGTTGATCCCTTCTTCATCCTCTACATACCTAGAAATCAGATCAAAATGTAAATTTAGATGAAAAAAGAAGCGGAATATTAGGGTTTCGAAGTTTACTTCATTTGGATGCGATCAAATACATCAGAAGAGGGATCAATTCCCTGTAGAAGGAACATTAACATCCATAACCATAACATTTGATGAGATTTGAAGACTAAGAGGTATTAACATATGAGTAATTGTAAACACGATGAAAGGAAAAATCACTTGAGAGAGAAAAGGGGGCTTTGTGCTTAATTTGCGTCTACTACAAATGAAAACGACTGATTTATCATCGGTGTTAACGATGGAATTGAATGCAAATTGAAAAAGCAGCGATGTCTTCCCTCTGTAACAGCATCAATGGCAATGTTTTAGTCGATTTCATCAATCGGTGCGAGAGAAAGTATGTTGTGTATAGGGGAGTAACAGTGAGGAACTTACGAAGAGGGAGGGCCAGTGAGCAGCATCATTGCATTGTCGGGTGAATCGGGGACGTTGATGGAAAAGAATCTCTCCA